GACCATGGGATTAACCCCTGCAGGAAATTAAAGTTGTAGAGAAGGCTCTTCACGCCACAGCAGAGAGAAAGAGAAAAACTGGGATCTGGATTAGAATTGGCAGGGCTGGTGACAAGCCACCACCCACAGCCAACTGTTCCCGGCTGGATCAGAAAATGTTATCTCAGTCTTCACGTAGAACTCCCCTCCACATCTCACTCGGTTACCAATTTTTGCCAACAGTGTGAGAAGAACAAAAACATCACTCTGTGGCAAGAAAAAGAGGAGGAAACTGGGCAGCCAGCTCACGTGTCCCTCCTCTGAGCCCCTCTCCCACTCCCTCACCCGCTTCCCTTCTCAGCTGCCTCCGTTTTGCACAGAGGAAACATGCACGTGGTCTGTCGCGTTCAATAATACTTGGAGAAGATGCTGGCACACACATGGCTGGATTTCTTCCTGTCAACTGCCCCCTCAGCTCTCCTCCTGCTGCTGCTCTGGGCCTCCTCCATATGCTGCACTCTCGCTGTGCTGGGACTTTCCTGTCACTCCCGTGTTGGATATCCCGGTCTCCCCACCTGTTTCCACAGCCTCCCAAGGAATCCCACTTCTCCACAGCAATCTGGGTCTTTCCCGTCCTGGCTCCCCTTTGGATGCTCTGTGCTTTCTCAGACAGTCCAATGGGACCTGATGCCCTTGGTATTTCCAGCCTCTCTTACATCTCCCAGTCTCATTATTGTGCCTTGGTCAGGGAGGCTTGGGGTGCAAATGTTTTCTGGTTAAGGTACAGGATGAGGAATCAAGAAAACTGGCTTCTCTCCTGATTTTGCCACAAGCCCATCAGGAAATTTTGGGAAAGCCCCACCAAAACTCCTTTATTCTGCGTAACTTTGATAAGCCCTACAAATCATCTCTGCAGGACTGGAGAGCATTTACAAGACCAAGTGATCCAGTGCAAGCAATGCACTTGGCAGCTTTGAAAATCCTGAGTGAGGAACTGATGTGGGCTCATGATATCAAGAGCTGGGCAGCTGAAAATTCAGCCAGCCAAACTCAGTAGCCATTTTTACCTCTACCATAGTTTACCCCTCCATAAAATGGGGATAAAATTGATCTTTCTTGGAGGGGCTTGGGAAGGAAACATTTTTTAACACCAATCACATTTACATTTCAGAGATGCCTACGCATTGTCATTCAAAGATCAGAAGCTTTTTGACCTCTTCACATCCCAGAGAATAGGGTCTGGTTATTATTCACACCGAGTCAGGAATGTGGCAGAGTCCCTTACAATACTGAGAGGGTTTTCCACTCTTTCTACTTTACGGCTTTCTGTATGAGGTGTTTTGCTTAGCTGTGATTGATCACTGCAAGTCAGATGGCACCATTTCTTCTGCAGCTGAGTTTCTAGTGTGAATTTAAAATGTGCTCTTCATTGATTGTGACAGCACAACACTAATGAATCCTGAACACATGTGTTAATAAATCAGCAATGCTGGAAATGAAGCCCCCAGCTATTTAGCTTAGAAGCTCACTGGGGCAGCGACACACGCCGTATGTTTCTACAGTGCTGCTGAGCTTGGCTGCCACCTCTGGGTGCTTTTGCAGTCCAAATAAACAACAAATGAGGAGCTGATGCTGAGACAACGTGAACTCTTCTGGTCAGTAATTTGCTTGACTGACCTAGGTCTGTTGGGGGACCAAGAATAGGCATCATCTCCATGCCATGTAAACCCATTTGTGGTACCGTCAGGAGCATGATTCCCCACTAGGACTCATCAGCCAGATTACTTCATGAACTTTCAGTTGCTGTAATCAGACCATATGGCTGACGTGTCTCCCTGCCCTCTGTGGACCTACCCTTGCCCTCCAGGGGCTGATGAAGGAACAGACATAGAACAATGTGTTTTAGTCACTGGATGCTGGGGTACCACTGTCCCTCTCCATTACAGGGTGATGACAATAAAACAGGAATCCTAAAAGCAACAAGGAAAGGGGAGGAAAAAAAGATAATCTCCTTAGAGTGTCCTCCATGCCCTCCCTCACCCTGCTGCTTTTCTGATAAAGGCTAAAGCAGTTCAGCATTGGAAAAGGGAAAGGGACTTTGTCGTCACTCCTGAAGGAGAGTGTGGGGGAGGGATGAATGTCTGTGTGTGCTTCCTGATAATTTATCGCAGGCATCTGTTGCAGCCTCTGTTACCTACCCTTTTGTAATATAGGTCACCCACATGCCCTGCCAAGGCTCGTAAGCCAGGCTGTTAACGGGGTCTGATCCCTGAGCCATGATCCAAGGGTTAGTGCAGAGGACTAGGAGAGATAATCAGAGACAGAGGTTGCTGGGCTCTGTTTCTGACTGCGACTCGTCCTAGTGACACAGTCATCTGTCTCTGTAGCCTCAGTGTCCCAGTCTGGAAAATGGGATAACTTTATCCACCTACCTAGCGCAGAGGCACTACTGGCCATGACCTCAGCCTTACTTCTGAGGGTCATTAAAAACAAAATAACACCACCACCACCTACAACCATGGTAAGAGCAGATGGAAAGGCTTGGATAGAAGGTGTCACAGAATTGGGAAGTGTTACTAAAACAGTATGTGGATGCAGTAAACTGAAACCCTCCCCACCCTCACAGTGTGCTCCCTGGGACCTGACTTATGAAAGCTAAGGCTTTAGAGTGATACTGCAAACATTACTGGTGTCTGGGCAGGGAGAAGGGAAGCACAAGACAGTGATCGTGCCTGCTGTCGCTTTTATGCCCTGGCAAGTGCTGTGGAGTCATTACACTCTCCTCAGCATCCCACACCCCCGGCAGGAAAGTTCCCTGTTCAAGCTAATTAGGGGAATCCTCATTAGAGAGTCCTCTAGAGTCTGACAGCAGGCCAAATGTCCAAGTGGCACTTCAGCTCAGTGTATTTTTGGCCACTGGAGCCTATGGGCCAGAAATGGATGATTTCATTCTGTTGCTTTGAGCTTAAACTAAAAAAGTTGTCTGTTACTGTCCTATATCAAACGGCAAGAAGAAAAGGCCATCACCAGCCCCACAGGCTACTCTGTTCATTTCTCCAGAATCTGGAAAAGAGATTCGACTCCAAGCACGTGGAAGAAAGCTCTGGACACTGTGTCCCATGGATCACAGGGCATTTGGCTGACATGTTGCTACAGGGAGAAGGAACCATCTAGTTAAGCCTGGAAGAAAGACTAACGCCTGGTTTGTGGAGCCCTTGGGTGACTTCAGAGCATTCAGAGCTCCAGCAATGCTGATCAGCCTTGAGCTCCCAAACCCAGGCAATGCCACGCTAGTTCAGAATGGATGGCACAGTGCATCTCCTCTTGCGCTGAGGGCACATGGAGGACACTCCTAGCTCAGGGAGAGTCCTTGCTGCTGGAAAAGTCCCTGGGTGTCAGGCTGAAAGCAGCCAGACACATTTGGTGGTGCTCTGGAGAGTCTTGAGGTGTGGGCAGGTCCTGGTTGCCCCAGAGCTACGGGGTTCCCAGTGCTGCATTGGCAGTGAGCGCAGCTGCCCTGGTGCTCTGCAGAGAAGAAGGCATCTCTTGGGCCACAGTAAAACAGCCAATTAAGTCAGAATTCAAGGCAAGTCAGAAAAAACCTTTAAAAAAGAAACTCTCAAAAATTCTCTCTGCCTCCTTGCTCTCTCCTGGCTGCAGAATATTAATCACTAGGGTCTAGCGTACTTATGGGCAACAGATGCGTGGGAGAAACTGGTTTTTGCTAGATCCTTGGAATTAAAATTTCTCCATAAACATACCACTTCAAGGTATAAATGCAGAGGCTCACTGGCCCTTGTACTTTGGCAGTCAGGAACCTCTATCTATTCCAAATCTACTGCTCTGCCACCTGAGCATATGTTATGCTTGGAGAAGCAGGCAGTTTTGTGCAAGACGTGGATGTTGATAAATATGGGTCACAGAAGAGTCCCCAGTATATGTGCAAGCCCAGCTCTGTGCACACATTTGTAAGTGTAAGCTAGATTGGCGACTATATCTGCATATGTACATGAAGATAGCTGTTTTTAAGTCTTAGAATGAGCAGAGAATGTGCACAAAGGGTGGCTGCACAAAGGGTGGCTGCTATCTGTGGAGTGGGGAGTGCTGTGTTTATGTGACATGCTTTTAAAATAATCTTGGGTTTATCAAGGCGCCTCCATCTTTGTGCATGTTGCAGCGCAGGAGACAGCATTAAAGCCTGAACAGGTGTTAATCACTATGCACTGTAATAAATTCTAAACATAGGGAAAGGGCTTATTTATACATGGCTGCTCCTCCCACCCTGTACTCTGTGCTTGAGCTTTGGTGCTGCCTGAAAGGAAGAGGCGCCCATGAGGCACCAGAAACCAGTGCAAGCGCTGGACTTGCCCTGCCAGAGCAGAAGGAGCTAGGGGTAGAAACCCTGACCCTGTCGCCATCCTCACGCCCGGGTATGCCGGTCCTGCTCCAGCCCCCCGCTGTCGCCTGGGGATGGTGTGGCTGAAATGCACAGAGCAGCAAGAGGGATAGGGGGGGACACACCAGCCCATGGCCTGCGCAGGGGCCTGGGCTGAGGGGAGACTGCAGAGGGAAGCCGTGTCATGAAGCGCCCAAGGAAGCTGTATTTTTTTTTTTTTTTTAAAGCTTAGCCCCCCTGATTGGAGCCAAGCCAGCTGATACAGATGGGGTGTTACAAAACAGAGCCAAAAGGCAAGAGCACAAGGAACAGAGCTATCTATAACCCTGACAAAGTTAGATGGAGTGAAGGTGTGGAAGAGGGAAAGACAAAGCATGGCAGGCAGCCCCTGATGCTGAGAGCAAGGACGCGATCATTCAGCAACGGGATTTGGAGCCGATCGACTCCCGCTATCCAGCAGGCAGATAAGGCTCTGTGGCTGTCAGCTTAACTCTGCCGTTTATTCCTGTGCTGTAGGGAGTTAAATAGAGCACACGGAAAGCCTGCTGCTGAGGAGTGAAAGTCAAGGAGGGAGAGGGAAGGAAGAGGCTGTAATTGGGCAGTGCCCGGGGAGTCGGGTGGAAGTGGCTGCGGGCAGACCCCCTCCAGGTAAGTGCTTGCGGCTTTTCATCCTCCTTGTCGATTCCGACAGCTGGGGACGGGAGACTTCAAGGGTGGCATTTCGGACAGAGACATTGATATGGGGGAGGCTGAAAGTCTCCTTCTCAGCTAGGGCGAGTGCAAGCACCAAATGGGGACAGCTATTTGTTGTGGCTTCTCCTTCAGCGAGGACTGCAGGGAAAGGGCTCCAGCTTGGTTTGGGGAGTGGGGGACCGCAGCGGTTGAAGGGTGGATCAGTCTCTGTGCCGTGAGAGGTATTCATCTATTTGATGCATTGGCATTTGGGTAAATGATCCAAATAGCTTTGCAAAATGTACTAGTCCAGGCACTGAACCTGCTCATCTCTCTCATCGAGATGCTAATTTAAGTATTTCCTGGTGGTTTACATTCCCATATAAAATAAATCAGTCATGGAAGCCTGGGGGAGGGGGAGCAGCTGGCACGTGTGTGGGGAGAGTGTCCTGGTGGGAGTGCAGCACCCAGCTAAAATAACGGCTGTGGATGTTAACAGAGCCCCTCAGAGGGGATGGAGGATGGTTTATTTCTGTACCCTGGTTGAAATGTGTCCATCTAACTGCTGCTATGACTGTGGACGGCATGTCAGAGAGCAAGCAGGGGGACAGGAGAGTCCGTGGTGTTTCCCCTTTTCCTGCTTGCCTGTATCCAAAAGGGAAGCGGGAGAGGAGGAGGAACCTGTTGTCAGTCACTTATTGTCAGGGGAGAGTTTATGGTCTTTGGGTTTCTAATTAGACTGAGCATTTTTCCTTCTTCTAATTAAGATGTAATTCCTCTCTTTTCAACACTCCCACTCAGTCTCCCCCGCCCCAGGTCCTCCCTTCTCCTCCGAGGCTCGCTCGCTCTTCAGCTCCTGCAGTTGCTGCAGTGTGAAATCCCCAAGCTGAAGCTGTGCTCTGCTCAGCCCCTCTCTAGCCACCACATCCATTTTACCTTCAAACAGAAAGGAAGTGCTGGTGGGGAATACGGGGAGGGGAGAAGCAGCTTGACAGCCGCCGGTACCCAGACCTCAGTGAGCCCGAGTCGTGCGTCAGGGAGAGGATGCACAGGTGGTACCAGCCTGCGTGGCAGCGAGAGGGAATGAGCTGGAGTCTGCTGTCCTGGCAGGGTCACCTCAGCAATTCATCAGGTTAACCTTGAGCATGAAGCTAATGTAGCTACCGTAGCAGGCTATTCAAGCACAGGCTTATCTCTTTGGCACTTAGGTGAATCAGGCCTCATTTCTGCATTGCGAGGTTCAAAGTGAATTAACATTGCACCTCCTGAAACATCCTCCATCTCTCCTCCAAAACGGAGCTGATGCCTCAAAGGCAAAACTCTAGTTGGGGAGGAGAAAGGACGACACTGAGCCCAGGGAACTAAATCTCACCCGCTCTGCTCTGCTCTCCCCCTCCAGGACCTGTCAGGCAGGCTACAAGGTTATTCCTCCTCCCCTTGGGGCCGGGTACCAGGCTGGCTGGTAGATGTGAAGACACGCTGGAGAAGACAACAATGTTGCCTACAACTGCTGGCCACAGGTGGAGGAGCAGGTTCCTCATGAGGTGGCAAGAGGCTTGTCGTAAGTAATGCCTACTCAGGTACTAAGTACAATAATCCTGTTTGTCAAGGGAGTGGAAAGAAAATAGGTCACATCAGGGTTAAGAATAGGGGAGAGGGACAGCTAAGTATGGAGATGTTTGAACTAATTCCTGATTCCTTTAGAGGCCAGGCTAGCGGGAGGGAGAGCGAGAGTCTAAAGCTGAAGATGGGCTTAAAGTGGGACAGCGAGTGATGATTGCTTCTGAATTCCAGTGGGCCTGGCAGGTGAGAAACAGTGAGACAGATAGATACCACCACTCAAAGATCCACCCCAAACGTTTCTCAGATCGGCATCCTGTAAGCTGCAGACTCCTCTCTGTGGTAGGGGTTTATACATAGGCTGCTGAGCAAGGCTCCCAGATCTTCACAGCAGAAGTCATGACAGATTTTAGAAGGGAATGCAAGATGTGAATGCAGAATTCTCCTACTGGGCACTGCCACATGTAGTGAAAATCAAGGAGTAAATAAAGAAGATCTCTTTTATATTAAATTGTAAAAGTTCAGCCTGCGCATCTTCCCAGTGGACCAAGACATCTGCTACAGTATCCCTGAGCGCAGAGCAGAGACTGCTAGGGCAATGTGGGGCTTCAGGGAATGTACCTGCACTTCAGAGAAGCATCTGGGGACCACAGCAGAGGAAAGGGAGCACTCAGAGAGTGTCCATCACTACTGCATGCCCAGGCACCGAGCAGGTCTGTGGTTTCCCTTGTTCCTGCCCCTCTGATCAAATTTGGGACTGCCACTGTAAGAAGCCGGGGGATTTCCTTCTCCAGAAAACAGGCATCTTTTCAATGCATCCTCACAGACTAGACTGCTGTATAAATTATTTATAATGAATGCTACTGAGTCTTGACTTAATCTGATATACCTGGATCGGCTTTCTGCCACCTACCAGAGTTACCAAACACCCCACAAAGTAATTTCATCTTCCCCTAACACAAAAACACATACTACTCATCCTTCTGTAAGGCTGGAAGACAGTTTCAAGTTCTATTGTTTCCCTGCCTCTCTTCCCCGTAAAGCTGTGTCCTAACCAGTGTGATGAATTCCTTGGTCTCAACTCACATCCTAGTGGACGCACCTCTTGCAGGGACTGAAAATGAAATCAGACCTTCTCCTCTCTATGATCTTAGTAAAATATTTCCAGGAGCACAAAGCAATATATGGGTAACAACGAGACATTTTTGGCACATCCTACACGGCTGCTGAAACCTGGCATAAATCCAGTTCCTGAACATAACCACAGCCAGCTGCCTGAGACTTTGTTCCTACCAGCCACTGCCAGCATACATACTGGTGGAACCCCACAGCCACCCAGTCGGGGCCGGTGGCGGGTAGGCATTTTGAGAGATAAGCCCTGAACAGAATGCCACCTGTATAGCATTACACACGGTCTGCTCTTGCCTTTCTTGGTGTACAAAGCAGCTCAGTGTTATCTCATCATCACAGCTGTCAATCTATTATTAATACTGTACTTTTGTTAAGCATCCAGGAAAAGATGGGGTCACTTGAGTGACTCACGGCTCTCTCCCTTCCCCACTCTAGCTCCCATTCTTTTAATTCTCTCCCAACAACAACAGCGCGATGTATCCTGAATGGAATTAAATATCAGCCAGCCAGCCAGTACCTGCACTGCGCCAGTCCACAGGCTATGATCTGCTTTCATGGCAATCTCTGCTCTTGAGCCCAACCTTTGCATGACAAGAAAGCACAGAGGTGCTCAGGGTAAAGATCTCTCTTGTATTTCACCATAAGGATCCATAATTATCACTAAAAGAGCATACAGATTGGCACAGCCTGGGCTGATGTACACCTCAGATCTCAACTGTAGAACAGAAATAAATTCTTGAAGGAATTGTGAAAGATGGATGAAATAAAAAAGAGCTGAGATGATACTCTCTTGGAACACTTATCCCTTGGTTCTTAATAAAGTCATATAGCTTAGGATCCAAACTGTAGTTCTCCTTAGGTTACCAGTCCATAAATCCACCAATTCTCACAAGGATTGCTGGGAACACAAAAAGGCCCTATGCGAGATGACAGCATTGGAGTATGAAGGCAGCATCGCTGACAAAAGCCAAGTTGATATTAAAAATTTGGCTATGGGTGAGACTAAATTCTAGAGAGTGGTGCGAGGGAAGAAAGGAAGAGCATGGTGGACTGCAGAGCTGTTCCAGGCAGAGCTTCTCCAGAGCATGGGTCTCCACCAGCTCCCTCTCCCATGGCAGTCCTCTCACAGTTCCTTTGGGGTTAAGAAACAAAACACCTGCTTGTTGGTTCTTTGGAAAAAAGCAGGAGAGAAGAATCTGGTTTCCAGTCCAGGAAAGAATGGTGAGACAATAAATGCTTCCACTTCAGCTACTATTCACCCCTAAAAAGACTCTACCAACCCCAAATGACTGCCTTCTCTAAAGAAAAATGAGAAAGGGAGAGGACAGGGCATGACGTACAGACCAACCTGCTTCAGTTATAGTCAAATGCTCAAACTTGTCACCTTAAAAAACAGCGAGGCAGCTGAATTTGCTTCCCACATTGAAGAAACTAATCTCAATTCCACAAAAGGAATTAAGATGAAGGATGCAAATGTTTTACATAGTCTGCTTAAACATAACTCCCACTCCTCCAATGACGGGAGGCACAAAGCTTGCTTTCCTGTTGCTGATGCTTCTTTGTCACAGAAACGAGGGTTTTAAAGGCCACTGGCTCCCAGGAAGGGTTGGTAACTAGCGTCCTGACGCCACCCACAGGATCTGGATCCAGCTCTAAAAAATACAGTTTTGTGGATTGTGTGACCTTACCTTTGAGACACTGCAGGAGAAAGGGGGTGTGTGCTAACCCTTTTCCTAACGCCTCTTTCTTCAACTACCAACCTGCAATTTTTTTCCTCATCTCCATTGCTATGGGCAATATTGGTCCGAGGAGCTACTTGTGGGGCTATTGCTGTAGGATTCAGAAACTATTTTGAGAGCAATGGCAAGTACCAGGTGCCCAGTGGTTTAGGGGCTCCTTGTTACTTTTTAACAGCTTCCTTGGTCATGCCTTTGTCATGTAATCAAATTCATAAAAAAGCCTCTTGCCACAAGGCCCACGCAATACACTGTGGATATGGAAAGCAAACGATACCCTGATTTAGAGGCTAACTTAGACCTGAATCTGATCTATCACAAAGATTAGGACTCAAACTGCAGGAGCACAACTGAGATGTAGGTTGTTTTGTTTTCATTTTTCTTAAAAGCTTTTCATTAACATGTCTATTTCTGAAAAAAATACAGCTTCTTAAATACATACCAGTCCCTTCTCTCTCAACCCTGACTGTTTAGAAAGAACTGTCCTTTATAAGAGGTGACACATCCCACCGCTCTCTGCTCCATTCTCCTCTGGCAGGTTCCAGTGCTCTAGTATCTGGCAGCAAAGTCCTCTGGGATGCACTCTTCTTACTTCCTTGGGAATCTGGAAAGATATTTACTTGCTTGCTCATGAGAAAAAGGCTAAGAGGAAAGCCATGCTTCCAGGGAGCAGGCCAGCAGTAAAGGGATGTAGCTGTGAGGAAGCTCCTTACCCTGCGGGGCATTGTGGCCAAGGGACCTGCTGCGAGGCTCATATTGTGCAGTAGCTGCGTTCAAGGTGGCAATGGGTGAGGATGGGAAAGCACTGCTCTAATCCATGCACTCTCTCTCCCCTGCTTTTCTCCTACCAGTGCTTGGCTGTTGGCTGTCGCTATGTGCTGCCGAGTCCTTCTTTGCTTGCCCTTCTTCCTGCAAGTGTAACAGTGGCAACCTGGAAGTGGACTGTAGCGGCTTGGGCCTCTCTTCCATCCCCTCAGACATCCCCACAAACACCAGGACCTTCCTCTTTCTCAACAACAAACTCAGCATCCTGCCAGGAGCAGTGTTTTCCAACCTCTCCGCCCTACAGAGGCTGGATCTATCCAACAACTTCTTGGATCAGCTCCCTCAGAACATCTTCAGCGACCTGGGGAACCTCACAGAGCTCCAGCTGAGGAACAACAGCATCCGGGCCTTGGACAAGGACCTGCTACAACACACGGCCCTGCTTCGCCAGCTGGATCTCTCCATCAACGGCCTAGCCCAGATACCCTCGGGCATCTTTGATGACCTGCCTGCTCTCCGCTCCCTCTCTCTCAGGTCCAATCGCCTGCAGAGCCTGGACAGGGTGACCTTCGAACCGCTAACCAGCCTGCAGCAACTCCAAGTTGGGGATAACCCCTGGGAATGCGACTGCAACCTCCGAGACTTCAAGCACTGGATGGAGTGGTTCTCCTACCGAGGTAGGCGCTCGCGCAGTGGGAGCCAAGTGCGGAAGCACTGGTTTTCCATGGAAAGGCAGACACAGACGGGCAGGGAAGAAGCACAGGCAGATACATCTGGCAGGTCAGGCTGACCCAAACGCCAGATCTTAGCCAAGGAGCATGAGGACCATGCTCCAATGCTAAGAGACAGTTTAGTGCCACTGTACCTTCATACAGGCTGAGAAGTTCTCTGCAGCCCCAGATCTCCTATTTCCTTATTTTGTTTCTAATCTGAAAGATCACTTTTTCCTTTTTAAAAGAGCTTTCCTCAAATAACGTCAAAATTTTAGGATTATGAGTTCCCCTTACCCTTTCTGCCTACAGAGAAGAAATGCTTTTCACGCTTGAAAATAACTGTCCCGTTCTCTTTCTTAAGCCAGGAGAACTAAAAGCCAGATTTGGCTGTAAAGCATCAGGATTGCTTTCCACAAAAGAACCATAGGAAACAGTGCAACTTAGGAAAATAGTGCAACTAATATTGGCAAACCCAAACTAAAGCTCAAATTAACAAGTCAGGCCCCAAGTCAGACTGGCTATAAAACCATCATTTCAGATCAAGCAGTTTTTTGACAAGGTTGTGTTTCCAGCTTTTCCTCAAAATACAGAAGGCTAGAAAGGTGCGTATCACTTAGCACGAATACTGAAGGGATGACGTGCTTTCAGGAGCTGCGACTCAAAGAAAGATGGCACATTTTACAGGAATGACGATTGAAGGCCTGACCTTCTGTCGCTGGAGCCAATGAGTAGGAAAGGGTCTCAAATCATGCAGATAGCAACAGTCAGCTGTCACATCCCTGCTGATCACAGCCACGCTGCAAAGAGATTATCTACGCCTATGGCTACACTGCAGTCTGAAATATGTATTTGTGTGAGCAGAATCAAACAAGCATACGAGTGCCACTTTCCTCTTTTTTTGGGGGGGGTGGGGTGTTTTCTTTCTTGACTCTTATATCACAGGGTCGATAGAAAGCACACGGAGTTAATTTTGCTTTTTTTCCCCCTTCCAAAGAAATTGCCCAAACTCGCTCAAGCATTTGTTTCAACATCTGTCACTATTTTCATAGAGGAGGGATGGATTAGTTGTTAGAAGATGGGACTGTGTCTGTTGTTATTTTGAGAAGATACAGCCTGGTCCTATCTTTTTGCTTTAATTTCTCCTTTTCTAAAATGGTTCTACTGACACTTACATAACTCACTAAACAGTATGAGGCTGACTTAATAGACTGCTTCAGAGGGCTTTCATGTCTTGGCCTGAAAGATGTCTATGCAGATATCATGCACCACAAGCTCTACTGTCAAATCCAACCTAGAAGCATCCCAGCAAGCTGCCATGGTTGAAGCTCTTCCAGCTGTGGAGGACTAAGGCGTGCAAAATGTCTCCAAGTTAGGCAAAACAATCATTTTAAAGGACACCATGTGTGCTCCTTCTGGATGCACTTCTGGAGTGCATGGAGGTGCACTCCCTCCCTCTACCTTTGACGTGCACTGTGGATCTGGCAGGACATGGGGGTCTGCAGCACCTCCTGACTTTAGTGTCACCCTTGATCTCTAGAAACATCCCGCACTAGATCATGGCTGTCTTTTGGGGATGGGAGAAGCTCTCTGAATACTGTCTCTACTCAGCAATGCATTCATGCATGAGGGACTGGATTTTATGGCCCCACTGCTGCAATAAAGCAGTTCCCCACTTGATAACCATAATGCTGCCATGCCTGACTTCTGTAGGGCAGGTGTGAATGGAGTCATAGGAACTTACCCCACCTGAGGATCTAGCTCTGTTGTCACTGTATCAGGATGAAGCTGTGGTTCACTCCTATTATCTCTGTTGGGACAGGTGGGAAAATCGACCAGCTGGCATGTACCCTGCCCAAGGAGCTGAAAGGGAAGGATATGCGAATGGTACCTATGGAGATGTTTAACTACTGCTCCCAGCTGGATGATGAGAATAGCTCTACCGTGCTGGACAATACTGGGCCACCCTGCACTAAAGGAAGCCCAACTCCTTCCAAATCTAAATCGGGCCCAGAAGCAGAGGTGGAGCCCAGTGTGGGATGCCCTCAGAAACAGCGATATAGGCCTGTGAGTGTGCGCCGGGCTATTGGCACTGTGATCATCGCAGGTGTGGTTTGCGGCATTGTTTGCATCATGATGGTGGTGGCAGCTGCTTATGGTTGCATCTATGCTTCCCTCATGGCCAAGTACCACCGGGAGCTGAAAAAGAGGCAGCCGCTCATGGGTGACACAGAAGGTGAACATGAAGAGCAAAAACAAATCTCTTCTGTGGCATGAAACTCTTCTAGGAAGGAAGTAACAGCAATGAACAAAGGTACCTGAGAGCAGTCAAGCATGGGGTCCTCCCAAATTACATCTTCCCAGACAGACAGACAGACTGTGCTATTGCTCCACTCACCCAAGTAGTGCAACATGCTTCTGGGGGGGTCAGGGCACATGGCTCAATTTCTGTTCCTCTGCCCCAGGCCCATTTTGTGCCCTTTCATCCTTGGGCCCTCCCAGACAAATAAAGTAGAGTCAGACCTTGAGTGCTTGCTGTGCCTCATGCCCTTGCACAGAGCTTCCCTCGCATGCCTGCTGTGGAGGCAGCTGGCACCTTCTGGGAACCTGTGTCATCCTCTCAGCTTCAGTCCTGAGTTGTCCTGTATCCTGTCAAGAGCTCTCTGCAAACAGAGAGAGCAGCTTTGCAAAAGCTTGTGTGAGGAGCAGGACACCAGAAGTGTCCATCCCTCGCTGTTAGGGTCACTGCTGCTGTGTGACAGTAAGTTGCTGCCCACCCTACGAGTCAGTGCTGCCGAGAGCACATCAGAAGGGAGGGAAGGTCCCTAGGGGTTAATAAGAGTCAGGGGGAGATTTCCCCTCTCACTTTTACAGGTGGAAAGGTACCTGTATCACTCTAACATGCTGCCAGGGAGCAGAATGTCCCTCTTTTTGCTCCTGGCCAAGTTCAAATCTGTGAGCTGACACACACACAGATCATTCGTTATAGGTGCATACATACAGAGCCATCCTCCTGTACACACACACACTGACTCATTCTGATCCCAACACACAGAGTCAGCCCCAGCTCCAGACATCCAGGCATCCCACCTGCGCACGCAGAGCCACGTGTGCACATGCTGATCTGCCCTCTGTGTGCAGCCAGGAATACATTCAGCCGCTTTACCTCATTCTCATCATAACAGTGCATAGCACCTTCTGGTTCAGACAAAATACATGCACCCTGCCAACCAGGAGCTAACAAAACCATCTCAGCTGAGTGCAGAGCCACTGGAAATGGGCAGGAGAGGACGGAGAGAGGCAAAGTTATTAAGGGTACAGCATGAGGCTGTGGAAATGAGTACACAGCATGAAAAAAATAAGGTGTGTTCTTGTTATCTATTTTACGTTTTCTACGGTAAATGGAGATGGTAAGGGTATGAAGCCTCTGTTTGGAAATGTTTAATAGCAGAGCAGAAGTGGGTCATCAGGAAAGACTAGAGGAGGAGGTGGCTTACCAGCCTCAGTAGCGTAAGCCATGCTGAGGAATAGTGCGAACCTAGGGGAAGGTGGCAGGAGAAGGTGACATACAACCCAAAAGCTGGCGTGGCTGGCAGAGGGGCATGCACGGTGTATGGAGTAGGGTTACGCAGCTGGGGCAATTGGAGAGAGAGAGGGCACAATTCTGGAGGGTCTTGAGGTGAAGGCTGAAACCTGGACCGCAGCGTGGCACAGGTGGGAGAGCCCAGGAAGGGTCCAGCACAGCCCGTATACTCTCCCCTCACCATCACTGCTGTGTTCACTGCCATCCACAGCTGCACATGAGTGTGCCCACACAACCGCGCACACTGCCGCTGTCGTATAGGGTGACTTCCCCCAACCAGATTTTAAAGCCCTGAGACTGCAGGGCCTCCTATTAGTCTTAGCTCTTTCCAACTTGACGGGGGAAAAAAAAAAAGTGAGAGGGGAAAAAAAATGAAAGGAACTCACTATAAGGACTCATTTTGTATCACTGGAAGTGGGATAAAATGCTGTCTCCAGGGGAGAGCGCACATTGCCATGGTAACCTGCTCTAACCCGTCACAGTGGGTATTCCTGGGCGAGGAAGATGACACCGGAGGTCGTGCGTCCACAGTGCCTGTGGATGGTGTGATCCCTGCCATCAGGAAACAAGCTGGCAGCCAGCCCAGCTTCGCAGGGTGTTTCGCTAGCAACCTGTGTTCAGAGCCCAGCACGCACTGCAGGTGGACCCTGCCAGAGCAAGTCACCTCTTCCCCCTGCTCCAGCTGGATCCCAATGCCTTCGGTTGTCTCACTGCCCTCCTGTTCGCTGCTGCTGGATCCCTGTGGAAGTGATGCATGCTGGCTCCTCACCCCCTTCTGGTCCCAGACAGGCCATTGTACTGACCCATGGGCACACAATACCAAGTCTTTAATCAAAGCCTGGAGGGGCAAAATCCCTCCTGACCTACCCAGGGCCACCAGAGGCAAAGAGACAGGATGCTCTGGACTGTTTTAGCATGACTTCCCTTTCACACAGGGAATCATGGGACAGGGGAAGATATTCTTCATAAAGCAGAAGACCAGGTTGCCCTGGAGGAAGGACTGGGAGAAGCAGTCCACCCACAAGTGTGCATACGCATCGTACCCCCACTCCCAGCACACTGCTTGTGGGAAAGAAGAGGAGGAGGGGGGCTGGCAAAGATGCGAGGAGGAAGGACTCTTCCCCCATGCACTGTATAGCCACTCCAACCATCCCATCTGCTGCAACCGTAGCCCGCTCGAAGGGCAGAACTGGTGCACTGCAGAGTCCGTATGCGTGTTGCTGCTGCTCCACATTCCCAGCAAGCCAGGACTAGACTCTGCCTGCTGGATCCAAACCTCTCCTCCACCTCCCTCTCAGGGGAACTTCTCCCTTTACCATACTGGACTCCGCAATCATACTTGAAAAGGGACTTGAGTCAAAGCGGTATATTTATAGATCTATATTTTACTTGCATCAAATAACGGTGAAATATTGCACAAAACAAATGGGATCTATATATGTGTGTGCGTGTATGTGTGTGCGTGCGTGTGAGTGAGAGATTGTTTTTAAGGGGATAGACTAGAGGTAAAATGAATGGGAGAGGGAAGCAGGGGAAAATGCAGGGGTTGGGGGGTGAAATCCTCCTTTCCCTGCACCTTTCCTGTGACCTATTCCTGCCCTGAACAATTTTTCTTTGTTGCTAATACTATTTTCTATATCTTGTGTTGTGGGGCTGATGATGACCTTGCCCATCCTTTCCTTTTTGTTTTCATTTATAAGGCAGAAAGTCTGGATTCCCCCTAGACAAGGGACTGCTATGTTTAGAAACCCACCCAGGGAAGAAGAAAGGAAAGGGGAGAAAAGAGAGTTGCTGAGAAACATGATGGCTGGCTGCTATAGGTAGTCTCACAAGCAAATACTGTGCTTGGAAGGACAAGCAGAGTATCATAGAATGGTTTGAGTTGGAAGGGACCTCAAAGACCATCTAGTTCCAACCCCCCTGCCATGGGCAGGGGCAAC